AGTAACAGGTGCCTTACTAGTAGTAACAATGTTTGCTATTAGAAACATCTCTCCTCTCCTTTCGACGTTCGTCGTTTCGCCGCGCACCTGGCGCAGCAGCACAATGCCATCGCGATCTCCGTGGGACGGAGGACTCGTCTTGGGCTCCACGGAGTTGAATAAACGCACGCGCCCCGTTTGCCCCTGGAAATCCACGTGCAATGCCAGCCTCATGCGGTCACAGGCACACCAATGCGCTGCCAAACACCTGTTTATATATATATACTACTAATATACTAGCACTTCGTTTGGAAGAAACGGGAAGTCTTAGACTAATCTATGCGGTGTAGAGCTATCTCCGACACAAGGTCTCAGCACATCCTGCCACTTTCAAGTCTCGGCATGCACCAGTAGTACTTATTAGTTTGAAGGCCATCGCTTCTAGGTGGAGGCCATCGCTGAGGTTGGCTAGGAAAGACTTTCGCCCGGACACTCGTAGAGCGCGTCCAAGGAGAAGCTGGAACCCAAAGAATCAAAAGACCTGCTGTGCGAGGAACCAGTCACAACGTACATGTAACAAGACGCTTTAGCATGTTGTGATGTTGTGTAACTTTTCCATTTCCACTACGTCAGAATGCCATTAGAACAATTTGGCATGTATGCAAAGTGATGGTTATAGTTATACTGTTGGTTGTAGTTCTACTGTTACCTGTGTGTCGCTTGTTTGTGCATGCCGTGCATGCCACCTGTTCTGGTCGATCAAATAGTTGTGCAAGACTTGCGCGATGAGCCACATACCATCGTAAAAATAACCAGCCCACTGGTGACTGCAAACACCCTTTCCATTTCCGAAGCCCTCACAACCCACGGTGTAGTCGTGGTACAGGTCAGATAGTGTTCTTCCCGACAGCGAGTGCACCACATTTGTGTTGAGCATTGGTCCACGGTCAACTCCAATTAGACCAAAGGATGCTCGATGTAGTTCGCTCTCAGTACATGGGCTCTCTGCAGTGTTTGCCGCTAGCAAAATGAAATTTTCATTCCACCATCCTGTCGCAACAAACCAATTGAATTCTGGAGTGAGCATATTCTTCTTGTAGGCTTGACACAGTACCATGGAACCTTCCAGCTCATACAGGGCCATGAAGTTTATCCTGCGGCATGGTGCAGGATGTGCACAAGCTAAAGCGTGAAAACGGATTTTGTTTCCCCGCCCTGCCCCAACCTAATAGCGATGGCCTCCAACCTAACAGCGATGGCCTCCTTCCTTTCCTAACCTAATAGCGATGGCCTCCAACCCAATAGCCATGGCCTTCAACCCCGATGGCCTCCAACCTCAATCCTTTTTTTGATAAACACTTTCCAACACCTGGCAATCTCTAGTGGAACCAGGTGGTGGGAGCTCAGAAAATCATCCCAAAGCGGGACCTCGGTGATGTGCAACGTAGCTACGTCACATGTAGTTTCAATGTGTCTGGCGTTGGCCTGTGGTGCTCTTGACGCTTGGCGTTCGATACGATGTTGGTGTTAAGTGCAATTGGGTGGTGGAAGTGTAGCACAAGTAATGTGATGTGCAGTGGCCCTTGGCATGGTGAAATGTGATGTCGCAATGTGTCCTTTTCTATAGGCTTGTCAGGGTAGGGGCTATGCACATAGATCGAGCTCACCTGCACACACACTTGGGAAGGTTGCTCCGCAGAGCGCGATTTCAGGCTTCTTCGCGGAGTGCATTAGCCCTCTAGGATCCTCTAGGTGAATACGTAGAATGCGGAAACAACCTATTGGACAGCTTTGGCAATACTTAGGTTCTCAAAAGGCAAATGCAGGTACGCAGTTGGACGTCTCCAACTGTATCACAGGTGACTGATGAGCGTCTTTGTTGGCACCGGTCTCATCAGCACCCCCGGTGCCCCCTGCTAGTTTTCTGTACAAGATTGCTAATGGCTGAGCTGTAATAGTAGGAGTAGCTAGAGTAAGTGCCCTTGGAAACAGGGGTTGACACACACAGAAAGCCGAACCCGGCGCATCTAGTAACCGTCCTTGTATGCCAATAGTGCTTGGTGGTAAAGTCAGCAAGTTGAATACAGTCAGGAAGTTGTAGAAAGTAAACTGAATAAACTGAATAAAGCAAGCTGAATAAAGCAAGCGGGCTGTCTTTTTTCTCGACGTGGCCGCAGCGCTGCGGCGCAGTGTTCTTTTGAATGACAGTCAGCTGAAGCTTGGTTTTGTTTTGTCCCTCTTTTTTTTCTTGTCTTTTTCTTTTTCTTTTTTCCCCTTTTTCTGCCAGGGGGTGAAGGGGTGTTCGGGCGTGCATTGACTAAACGAGCCTGGATGCCACCTAACCAGCCTGAAGAAAAGAACAAGACAAACGAAAAAGGCAAGGAAAGAAGAGAAAGGTGCAGGGGGTGTGGGGGGCGGGCAGGGCGTGCGTTGACTAAACGAGCCTGGATCATACCTAAAAAGCCTGAAAGAAGGAACAAGACAAACGAAAAGGCAAGAAAAACAAGCAAAGGTGCAGGGGGTGCGGGGTAGGGATGGATGCTCTTACGAGCGAACGGTACGGGCCCATAGGCACTGTCCGAGAAGCCGAATCGGCGCTTTGTTAAAATTTATTGAAAATTATTAAAAATTGGAACAAGGAAACATCTCCGGGGTGAGACATGTTTCAGTGAAACTCTGCAGTATATTTCAGTGGAAATTACAGTGAACTCTGCAGTAACACTTCACGTGTGCAAGGTGAGACATTCCAAGCAAGCTGATTTCGAGCAGGAAAATTCAGTCGAATGATCTTCAGAAAAACTTCAGGAAACTTACTCCTGCGGTGAGGAGTGAGAAGGTTCTTGCAGTAACGGCGGCCCGCAGGGATCACACAGCTTACCACAGTGGGAAGAAGCTGCGAAGACACACTTGGGAAGGTTGCTCCGCAGAGCGCGATTTCAGGCTTCTTCGCGGAGTGCATTAGCCCTCTAGGATCCTCTAGGTGAATACGTAGAATGCGGAAACAACCTATTGGACAGCTTTGGCAATACTTAGGTTCTCAAAATGCAAATGCAGGTACGCAGTTGGACGTCTCCAACTGTATCACAGGTGACTGATGAGGGTCTTTGTTAGCACCGGTCTCATCAGCACCCCCGGTGCCCCCTGCTGGTTTTCTGTACAAGATTGCTAATGGCCGAGCTGTAATAGTAGGAATAGCTAGAGTAGTGCTCTTGGAAACAGGGGTTGACACACACACACACACGTACGAGTAGCCCTCCTGGTAGACATCTCACTCACCTGTACACGCGCAAGCTTTGTTTGCCTGTGAAGGCACGCTTCCATCGGAACTCAGCACACACTTTTCTTTGTGATGTGAAGGGGTTGCCATGGACCACAGCTGGGTAAGTTCTGCTGCAAACTGCTGGGGGAGCAGGGGGTGGGGTGCGCCTAGTACGAGCCTAGTACGGGCTGCATGTACAAAGGTGCCAGCAGGCCTGCGCACAGGATGCAGTGGAGCGAGTGTTGGATGGTCCATCCAGGCGTCCGCTGGAACCGGATGCGATGTGAACCCCGCTACGGCAGAAGAACGGCGTAGGGTCCGAGTCTCGCTCGGTTTAAATGTTGAGATGCGCGGTGGCATTCTTGGAATCCTAAGAGATTTCTTGAGAATTCTTGAAAACTCTTTGGATTCCAAGAGTTGAGCGCATCTGCCAAGTTTTAATTCTTTAATTTGGTTCTTCTATAAACGTTTGTTCTAAATGAGTTGAGCGCATCTGCCAAGTTGCACCTCCCGGCCAAGCGTCACGGGTGAACAGGACGGTTTGTGCTGAAGAGAATTCTCGCAACAGCAACTCGCTAGTCAAGAAATGCTGCAAGAGTGGAAGCAGAAGGACAACAATCACGGATCGGATAGAATGATAGGCATAACGTGCGCTGCCTGCTGCCTGTGGTCATGCTGGAATGCCAAGTGGTAATTACAGCGACTTTGGTTCTCATGTGGATCAGTCAAAGCAATGGCAGTGTGCGCACTTTTGCGATGAAAACAAGAGCGATGGCCTCCCAACTGGCCTCCCACCTATTAGTGATGGCCTCCAACTTTTGCGATCAAAACATCTACAAAAGAGCGTTGTGGCCTCCCACATTTGCCAACGGTGAGCGCTTTGAATTTGGCAAGTGCCAAGGCGTAGCAGTAGTGCACTAAAAGAAAAATTGTAAGTATTAAGGTTGTGACTCCCTCCCTACGCAAAACTGCTAAAAGTGGAGAAATACGGTCAATAATTCTAGAGACAAAAAGCACATTATTATGGCACACGAACACAGAATAATGTATACAGAGGTTTCAAGAGAGAAAACGATATAAAGTTTTTAGAAAAGCAAACATGACTAGAAACTTACTTGTGAAACTAGGTTTCTCATCTCCAATTGCGAGCTGCGAAAGCGACTTTCTTGCCTGTGCTTAGAAGAAGCATATTGGCTCTTAAAAGCGACAGTCAAAAGTGGTTCTGGCCCTTCTTTCCACAGCTCTTAGGGGACAACCCTGTCACAGAAACGGACACATGCGACATGTAGTGACACCTAAAAAAAGTTTCTAGAGGCCATGGCTATTAGGAACCAAAGGCTACTATAGTAGGTCTTTGAAGCCTTCTAGAAAACTATAGAAGCTACTAGGTGGAGGCCATCGCTATTAGGTTGCTAGCAGTTTCTAGAGATCGGCGAACGTCCAAGTAGTGATCCACTACCGTCGTCAGGTCGCGCATTTCAGCATATTTGACACGATCCCTCTTGGCTGTGACTCAATGCCCTTTGTTCCGTTCGTCGCGTCCTCTTGCTCCTAGTAAGGCCAGGAGCCCCTAGTAGCGTCCTTGCTCCTAGTAGCGATGCCCTTTGCCCCTAGTAGCTTCTGGTTCGTTTCCTGGTGCCGACAACCGGAAAGAACGGACACATTGCATCGGTCTTGTCGAACCGAACACTTTGAGGAACAACCCTCGACTCCTGGGCAACAGTGCAAAACGCGTGCTTGCGTTGTTGCCCTATTCTTTCATATTCCATCTAGATTCTAGTTCCAGTTGTTTTGAGTGCTGTCTTGTCAGTCCCATGAACTGCTGGACAGGTGGACTTGGGAAAGCAAATGAAAGCAGGCTTTCAAAGGCATTCTCTAAGTTAAATTCGTTGGTTGTGCATGTCACCATACGACTAGATACAAGCACAATGAGAACTTATCATCTTGCAAAAGCCAGTCAACCCTGTGTTTTGCACTTGAGCTGCTTTTTTCTTAGGGCAGCCCTGAAAATACCTTGGGCACCAGCAACTAGCACAGCAGCCCAGGAAAACACTTGTTAAAGCAAGCGTACGCACACACAAAACCATCGTGGCTAACACAAACAATCAATCCCAAACCCGAAAACTACCTCGGACATCTTGTTCGGTGTAACTTTGGTTCTGTGTCCTTGCATCTTTGCTGCGCGCCATCTGCGCTGCGGATTCTGCATCTTCAATAGACTCAACACGCTGTGTATACAGGGGAGTCCATGAGTAGGTTCCAGCAGCATTGTCCACTGCCATCATCTCCAGGAACAAGTCTTTCACTAGATTGTTGATGTTCCTGTATCCATAGATGATGCCGACTCGATGGACACCCAGAAACTTGAAGAGCTCATAGAGAGTAATCACGTTGAATCGCAAGGAAGGTGCCATCCGTGTGAAATATGGATAGCGATCTCGGTCGCTCAAGCTCACCGACACACAGCCGGGACCTACCTGAGTCGGACCAACAGGCCAATGGACGAACTAGTGGCGTTCTTGCTCCTAGCAGTAAGGCCAGGAGCCCCTAGTAGTGTCCTTGCTCCTAGTAGCAATGCCCTTTGTTACTAGTAGCGTTCTAGCTGCTACTTGTTAGTAAGGCCAGCTCCATTTCGTAGCACGCGTCCGATCGCTCCGGACTCGTGGCGATGCCCGAAATGCTTCGTTGGGAGCTTCTTGTTACTACTAGCGTCCTTGTTACTAGTAGTAAGGCACTTGTTACTACTAGCGATGCACTTGTTTCTAGTAGCTTCTTTGTTTCTACTAGCTTCTTGTGACCACATTTTTCCCGCAACACTCCGTGATTCTGCCGCGCCTGCAGCACATTAAACTGTCGAATGGCGTCATTGACGGCTTCGCAAGCTGCACTGCAGGAATCGCTCAATACCACATGCTTCTTCGGAGCCGTGGTCATAGCAACCAGAGATGCTGAAATTGCATCAGGAGCTGTGCACTTGGAATCCTCAGAATCGTTGTGTTCGATGTGGGAGCGAGCGACCGAGCGCCAATATTCCAACAAACCCGCGTTCCATAGGTTTTGCTTGAGAAAAAAACATCTAATAGCGATGGCCTCCACCCTTGTAGCGATGGCCTCCACCCTAGTAGCGATGGCCTCCAACCTAACAGCGATGGCCTCCAACCTAACAGCGATGGCCTCCAACATAACAGCGATGGTTGCCAACCTACTAGCGATGGCCTCCAACCTAGAAGCAATGGCTTCCACGCTAGCAGGCATGGCCTCCAACCTAGTAGTAAGTAATTGCCTCCACCTGCTCCATGCTAGCAGCCATGGCCTCCAACCTAGTAGCAGTGGCATTTAAATCTCGTTCAAAAGCTCATGAAATCTCATGAGCCTTGTTCCGCCTTGTTCTCTCTTATTGTCTGGCGAAAGCCTAAAACTGAAGTCATGAACCTCACTGGTCCATTCCTTTCACCGAGAAACTGAGACGTATGCGTTAAGTCTATAGCCAGGCAAAAAGGCGCTATTTTCAATATCCTGCGGCATCGTTGCACGCGAATCACTGAAACCTTTCTGCCGATACTGGGTCACAAAACCCTCGACATTGTTCGCCCTCTCTTCGCTTGCTACCCCCACAGTCCTGGATGGCCTGGGCAACAGAAGGCTCAACCATAGTCATAAGTTCCCCCAGTCCTCCCGAGTATGGGTTGATGACTGCCACATTGAGATCGACCACATCAATTCCTCAAATGGGTCTCCACGACGTGCGAATCGTGAGGAAAACGTCTTCAAGAACACCATCGCAGGTCGCTGAATCTGCAAAAACATGTTCATGGAGACCAGCACTATCAGATGGAGGCCACTATTAGGTTGGAGGCCATTGCTATTAGGGTGGAGGCCATCGGTATCAGTAACTCAAGAGACGATGTTTCTTTTTTTGAACTAGTTCATTTTGCCAGTCATTCCACCAAGCAGCGTGAAGGATTCAGGGTAGCATTCACTTTGCACTCGTTACTATGGTATCTGCATGGCCAAGATGAGCCGTCAACTGTCGCTGTGCACGTGGCCGGACAATTCAAACCTGTGGCACACGCCACTCCGCCAGCCAATGCCACAGTGAGAACGAATTCACTCCATGGATGCATTCCCGATGAAGGAATCTGCTATCCACGTTGACGCGCTCGTCTTGGAAACTTGAATGCTGCGAAACGACATGGACATGGACAACTGTATGAAGCAGGAGGTCTTTGATGTTCACCCGTTCAATATTGAAAAGGTTCTCATGAATGACATGTAGTCCATGTAGTCATGTCAAATGATCACATCACGTGTTATGTATGGTATTAATGTATGTTATGTACTGCATTAAATGCATGTCATGCCATTTACCGTAATATTGGTTATTTAAGTAGGCAGTGTAGTATGGTATGGTATGGTATGGTATGGTATGGTATGTGTGATCGCTAGGTGAAAACATGTGAGCACCATGAAAACATATGAGAACATGAACATCCATGAACATTCCCAAGTCCAAGCAAGCAGCCAGTACCTTTTGAACTCTTTCTTCCATCTTTGCTCTCACTTTGTCTCTGTCACGATTTGGGTGATTGAATAGGGCTTTTCGGCCTCTCAACTCGCTGTTCGATGTTTGTTTCATCGCTATGGCCCGGCTATGAAGCTGCAATCACTGCTGCCAGTCGTCCGCCTCCAAGCTACTTGCGAAGGCCTCCAACCCTTGCAACCGTCTCTTGTCGACATCAGACCTCTTAGATGTCGCATTCCTCACCCCTCACGGGGCCCCTGACTGGCCAGTCTGCCGTTTTTGGTGTGCCTCATTGGGCCCTGCACCTGCCATCCTCTACCAGAATTCTCCATTTAAGGCACTTGTTACTTGTTACTAGAAGCGATGCACTTGTTTCTAAAGGCTTCCTTGTTTCTCTTCTCTTTCACCTGCTTTTCTGCATCATCTTTCATCTTTGGGAAGACTGAGGACCCTTTCGGACTATTCCGATTTTACTTCCTTTTTTGTCACCTTTCCGGACTACTCCGGACTCATCCGGACCTCATCACTCCTTCGGGGCTACCACTTTCAGCAAGCGTCGGGTGACCAGCTGCACGGTACGAAGAGATGCGGCAAATGTTTTGGAGCACCACAAATGTCCAGAATGCTCCAAAGAGTCCTGAGCTGCTTAGCATTGCTTAGCTACTTCAAGCTTCGGCATTCTTTGGGGGCTACTAGCGATGGCCCCCCCAATTTCGCTTCCAAGAGTCCGATAAATACTATGGCACTGATAGGCATTGCCCCGACATGGAACTCGAAGAGTGGCGCCACTACCATGATCAATCAAAGAAATCAGGTCACGCCCAGGTCGAATGGTCATCAATAAGCCCATCTGTCGCTCAAATTTTTCATGAAGATTGATGAAGCGGTCTTCCAAGAGCACATGGGCAGCATAATGAACCCCCGGCGCCGAGAAGGTAACAGTCTGTGGCTTCACACTCTCCGTGTCCAAAAGGAGCTGAACGAGCTTGGCGACCCCACCTCCTAAGGAGTGGCCCGTCAAATAGAAACGTCTTTCCGGATGCTCTTTCATCATGAATTCAGTGGCCAACAAAACCGACTTGAAGGTGGTTTCCCTGTCGATGTTGGCCATAGGGATGAGCTGGGATAGTCCAGCCATAGCCATACCCCAAGGGCCAAATGAGACATCCAGCCCCACATAATTGAAGATTTGAAGAAGCGCAGGCACCAGCCACAGCGATACATCCTGCAACACGTCCAAGAAGTCCAATGTGCCCCTCACTGCAATGACTGTCGTGCGATTGTCAGCAGACCTCGAGAAGAAAAACAGGCAAAAACGAACTGGCCTTCCTCCAGTCTTGGCCTAACATGTGGCATATTATGCATATTGCAAGGAATGTGTACATGGCGGCCTCTACGTTCCGTGACTACGTTCCGTAGCGATTGTCTCTTCGCACGGCTCCCTACTAAAACCGAATCGGGTTCCTGTTGTTCTCGGGTTGCCCGTCTTGCAGTTGGGATGCGTAAAAAGAAGGAATTTCACCTCGTTCTGCTTCAGAAACTTAGAGTCGATCGTCTCCACGTGCCAGCTGGATTGAAAGAAGTGAGCACACGCTTCAGACACTCGGCTCCGTGGTTCATAGGTCAAAGATGCCATCAATGCTAAATCTGCCAGATGAAAGTACCGTTGCGTTCCATTGTGCTGGTGGCGAAATTGAATGCCACACACCGGGTAAGCATCCTTAAGCCACGTGGAATGTTCAGGGACCTGATGAATAGCAGTAAAAGCAGTTGAATTCAATGGTGATCCGAACGCGCTCCACTCAGTATCTTCACCATAGGTCTGCATGGCAAAGCAAACAAGGACAACAAAAAAAACATGAACCACTCCGAAGATGTTGACGCTCGCGTGGCGCAGCCGTTCTCCACCATGGAACTGCCGCTGGAAGCCGAACTGTCTCATGACAAGCAAAAGTATCATCACCTCGCAAAACAGGTCTCTCTCTCTCTCTCTCTCTGGCGAGTCTGGCTGTCAATCAGGTCTCTGTGTTTCATACTCTTTCGCTGCTTCTCTCTCACTCCCTCTTTCTCTCTCACAGTTCCAAAACTATAGTCACGGACAGCCGGTAGGCAGAAAAAATCCTGCTTACCACAGCTGCTCGAGGCTGTTTTTTTGGTGTTTTTGAGCGGACCTATATGTAAGCCTAGATTTGGTCAGCCAGGCTCAAGGGGTAGTAAGCAGAAAATGTGTGTCTATCAAACATGTTGGGTGCTATCTTGTGAAAGCCTTTATCGAGATATGTATATATATATACATACATACACATTCAAAGAAATGGGACAAGACTATGACGTCAGGATTAAATGATTTGAGGACACATGTTATTTTGTCTTTGATTCTAGCACCCGCCATGGGTGATCCCTCGGATCCTATACTACAAGCCCACCAGTGGGCACACTGCGCAGTTGCTCATGTAAACGGGACACGATATATGGGGACCGGGATTGAATGAAAACAGCCGTTGGACACACGTCTGATACTTTGCAGTGTAGTAGGCATGAATGCTTGCTGCTTACTACTGCACCACGTGCTGGACGAGACGACAAATGCATTGATAAATTACAATTCCTTCTCCTTTTCCTTTCTTCTCCTTTTATTTGCCAGTAGTAGGACAGGTAGTAGGACAGGACCCAAAGGACCTAGGAAACTTAGTAAGGAACAAGGATTGAGGAACATTAGTCAAAGCAAAGCAATAGCAAACATGAAGCAAACAAATATATACATCTTGAGTGAGGACTAGTAAGCAAAGGATTTGAGGTGAGGGGGTTTCAACATTTACCGCCCGGTGAAATTATCTGCTTAATTTTTGGCTAGGTTCCGTTCCTGCCTACTAGTTGTCCTTGACTATAAGTACCTATAGAGTCTCCTATTAATCTCTATCCTTCTGCAGAATGCCTCCCAGAAATACAACTAGGACAACGAGGACGAATAACGGCAAGTTCACTGTGCAGTCTGCCAAGGCATCGGACGCTGTAGAAAGCATAATGTAGATTAAGATCAGTGTCTCGACCGCGGATTCCAGAAAGCACCATAACCAGGACAATCTCCCCGCGGCGCGCAGCACCAGCAGCTCCAGCAATACGCACACCAGCAGCAAAATGCACACCATGGTGAGTCCCGGAAAGCCGAAGAATCCAAAAGCCAAGGCTGAGAAACCCAACATCAAAAGAAACGGCTGCTGCTTTTGCTTCTGCTCACTAAAGCCTAGATCGCACCACTGCTCAGCCCACTGTTGTAGCTCTTCAGGGATCGGAAACCATGGATCTAAAAGCCGCATATTTCCCATGGTGATGGTATCCACTGGGCCAAGAATTTGCAAGGTGAGCATGATGCTCGAGAGGGCCATTCCTGCAGCCACCGCATAACAGTTGGGAGAAACCAGGAGCCCGAAGATCAGCGTTGCAATGGCCATGGCTACAGGAAGCACTTTCAGAAAGCCGTGCACCAGAGCCGCACAAAGGGCATAAAGCGAGCGGCATTCGGAATAAGGAACACCCGGAGCCGTCGGGTGATACGAGTAGGTTCGGTGTCGAGCTGGGGAATGACCACGCGCCATGGCCCAAGCGCCCACGAAATGGTGGAGTTTCAGGGCAACGTCCGTGCACAACCAAAGAAAATAGAAGACCAAGATGTGAACAATTCCAATGCAAAGGCAAATGCGGCACAAGAACACTTGGGTCGTTTCCTTTTCATTGATGCCGTAGAGAAAGAGGAGAAATGGCACTAGGTCGATGGAAGCATGAAGAAAGCATTGGCAAATGACATCGCAAATCTTCTGCCGCCGGCTTAAGCACATTGACCAGTTGTGGCTGTAGAATTCCCCTGCGCTCACTTCATTCCATGCATCGCAGGCCCAAAGGCGGCGGTAAGCTTCAAAAACGTCTGCACGCCATGCATCCTTGCAAAGCAAATACGCGAAACGCATCACATCTGAGGTCACACTGAGCAAAATGTAGGACCTGAAAAAGGCCCCAATGAAGTGAATCGAGTTCTGGGTTTTGAACTCTAGCTCTTGGAAGCTTGTCAAATGAACACTGGTGGTTGAAAACCACTGGATATAGCATTGGAGAATGGTGGCGGCGGAGTTCACAAAGAGCAAGGTCGCTGACGTGGCGAAAAGGTAGCAGTGCCAAAGTGCGCAAAAGCCAGCGGCCCAGGAGCGTCCTACGTTCGCCAGGCTCAAATGGCCCCATGAGGGAACCAAGTAGCCAATGCAAAGCCCCACCCGCCTTAGACATGTCCAAGCAGGCTGATAATCCTTGGTGACTAACAGAACCGGTTGTAAACCATGAAGCGTGCATCCAAAGAATGTTGAAGCAGTATGGCTAACTAAGATTAAGTACGTGTCTGTAAAATTCTAGGAACCAAATCATTAGTGCGAGCGCTTCTTCAAGGAAGCGTGAGCTATCCTGCGTCCAGTTGCTAGAAGCTTTTTCGTAGCTAGCAGCTTACTCTCTTAATTAAGTGGGCGCCTACTGAATTAAGTAAGGGCGGGCCAAAAGAGGAGACTAGTGATGGCCTCCAACCTACTAGCGATGGCCTCCCAACTAAGGGCGGGCTAAAAGAGAAGATCATGAAGCTCATGCCACTGATTCAACTCAACAGTGCCAACATTGAAGC